ATTATTATTATTAATATTATCAATCAAGGGACAAAGAGAGTGATGAACATGCAGTTTCGTATTCTTCTACAAGAGCACCAATCTTCCTTTTCACTTCTGTTGGTTTCCCTGCCCATGCATTGGTGTCAACCTAGATTACGAGTTCAAGTCCTGATGTGGAGACTCAAGACAATACCCTCTAAGCTTCCTGACCCAGTGCTGTGAGTGCTACCCAGAGTCAAATTATTTGAGAGAATCAAATTTGTATAGTGAGCATATGCCATTGGATAATCTACCAAATATTCTGGGGAAATAAGCAATACCATGATATTTTTTGCTGACTCTGTGACTATCTGTCAAAACGTTTGAGGGAATAGATGAGTTTTTCGCCTCTAGAACAGTGTATCAGTCACCTGTCTAGTGTTCATCGTGGTTCCCTGTCTGATGCTACAGAAAGCTACATCTGCCATTCAAAACCATAGAAAAACCCACCTGCCATTCATAGCAACAGGCAGAGTGAACCCTTTAAACCACAATGCCACAATTACACATAGCTCCATGATATAACACATTGGGGACCTTGCTCAGCTTTAGTTTTGCTTTGCTGCTTCTTTTATTTAAATGTTTCCTTTTTAACCAGTTCTTTGTCTCATTTGATAACAACGACTGGAGACAGTGAAGATAATCTACTTACAGAATTCAACTCAATGGCTATAACTCACTCTTCCAGCATCAAGTGAGATGTGTTCTAAGTTTAACTTATAGAGCAAATCGTTGTAGCAGTCTAGAAACTGAAAACCAGATGAAGTGGTTTGGGGTATTCTCCCCCCACCTCCAACAAATTGCTAAATTGCTAGTTCTTGTCAATTAAAATTCCACTGGGTTTAGAGTTTCTCCCAGGGCCCTGGCTAGTGTGTCAGCTTGGCTCAAATGGTAGCACTCTCGCCTCTGAGTCAGAAGGTTGTGGGTTGGAAACGCCATGTCACGACTTGGAAATCACATCGTCTAAGCTGACAATCCAATGCAGTGCTGGGAGCCATTGCATTCTTGGAGGTGTTGCCCTTCAGATGAGACGCTAAATAGAGATGGCGTCTACCTATTCAGGTGCATGTTAATGATCCCATGACACTATTGGAAAAGATAAAAGAGATTCTCCCGGTGTCCTGGTCAACAATACCACAAATAAATATTGGTCGCTCATTTTGTAGTGGCTGCTGCATTAGCCTACACTTTACAGAAAATCCAGTGAAGCGCATTGAGACGTGGAGCTCCAAAGTGGTAAGTGCTGTATTTGACCTATCATGTAAAATATGAACGGTTCTAAATTGCAACAGTTGCAGTACAGGTATATTATCCATACGGCATTGTTGGGGTTAATATTACCATATTTAGAAAAGTATCCGCGGGATTTAACCACACCAGTATCCATGTATTTCCTAGTGAAGGTAGGCAGTGTTTTAAAGTTAATGATCCTCAGAAGAGAAATAATAACAGTAGTAATCCTTGCATTTGATATAGCGTGTTATCATGTCTTCGAGATGTTTTAAAGCGCTTCACAGAATAAACTGTAAAGTGAATTGATTGTATATTTTGTGGGTGAAACACAGCAGCCAATTGCACACAGCAATGTCCCACAAACAGTCGTGGATTGAACTGACCAATTTTTTTTAAGGAATTATTGCCCCTGGAAAAGTGATTCATCAATTGACTAACAAGTGGGTTCCTACTTACTGTTAGGTAAACAGAGGCATGTTAGGTAAACAGGGGCGTGTGGAGTAAAGAAACTTGCTCAAGGTTTTGCCTTAATTCACCACAAGATGGCAATGCTGTTTAATGCTCAATTATATTGTTGATATAATAATAATAATAATAATCCTTGCATTTGATATAGCGCTTTTCACGTCGGGAGGACGTCCCAAAGCGCTTCACAGAACACACTGTAAAGTGAATTGACTGTATATTTGTGGGTGAAACACAGCAGCCAATTGCACACAGCAATATATACAGCAGTACTGAAGGGGGGGTAGGTATGCTTGAGGAATCATTGTCAGGGGTGTGGAGTAAGGAAATTTGCCCAAGGTTTCGCCCTGCAGGGAATCAAACCCAGGTCTCTCGCTTGCGAGGTGAGTGCTCTAACTACTGAGCTACAGGACTCTACATTGATGGCTAAGTTTTGAAATTGTTTTGCCTTCTTTTCCACAATGCTCTGTTACTTCAGTTTCAGATTATATTAAACTTACACAGACAGTGGATTCACCAGCCTGCAAATACTGATGAAATGTATAAACCTCGAAAAGAGCTAATTTCTATCATTAGAAGTGTAAAGACACAGGTCCTTTCCCTTTCTATATTAAACTTTAAAACTATGGCTTTGCACTAGTTATACAAATATCTAGTTATGTTGCAGGAGATGCACCACAAGAGTTGTGAGAGCACCCAGTGCTGAACTGACATGTGTTGAGTTGAGTTATATTGAATAATAATTGTGTTAGCCTGGCTTAGTAAGTAGCACACTGAGTCAGAAGGTTATGGGTTCAAGCCCACCTCAGGACTTTGAACACACAGTATAGGTTGACACTCCAGTGTATAGCTGGGGGTGTGGTGCATTGTAGGAGGTGCTGTCTTTCAAGTAAGACGTGAAACCAAAGTCCAGTCTGCCTGCTCAGATTCACGTTAAAGATCCCATGTCACTATTTGAAAAGAGAGGGGAGTTTCTCCTGGTGTCCTTATCAACAATCCCCCAAAGAAAAATTGGTCATTTATTTTGTGGCTGTTTGTGGGACATTGCTGTGAGCCAATTGGTTGCCAGTTTTTGCCGACAAGATACATGGGGACTACACATTACAGTAAATCCTGAGCACTCTAAACCGTCCTCCCAATGTGAAAGGCACTATATCAACTGCAAGTTTTTTTATATATACTGTATATGATTGAGAGAGGGATCAGCAAAAGGAGAGATTGATAGCTGAAGAAATCTGGGGAGAAATTAGAAAGGACTGTACAGGAAAAGAACAGGGAAGAGCTCCAGCTAAAGCAGAACAGATGGTTCGAGAGGTGTCTGTATAAATATGGGGAATTTAAAATCCTTAGCAATAAAGTGGACAGACTAGAGAACCAGAAGAAATTGTGTAAGAAATGTCATGGAGGTAATTGTAGAGTGTTAGAATGTTGCAACCCAGAAAAAGGTCATTTGTCCCATCATTGTCTGCAATACAGTTTTTCTTTTTTTGAGGCACTGCATCTAACCCCACTCTCCCGCGCACTCCCCATATTCTTTAAGCGTTCTCTTTTTGAATCATCTATCTTATCCAGGTCATTACTGTGCATACGGAATGGACGTAGGGTGGGGGAGTTTGTAGCACAGATCCCTGAAACACAACACTCAATATCTCTCTCTTAATGACTCTCTCAGTTTTACTCTATTTAGCGAGTTATTAATCCACATCCATTTCTTACCCTGAATACCCCATGATATCAATTTGTAAATAATTCTCTCACGTAGTACTTTGTTAAAGGCCTTTTGGTCCAAATTGCCATATCACATCCTCATAATAGTCTTTGAGGTTCACATAGGTTCAGGTTAGAACTTTGGCACATTGCTGATGTGTATCAGACTGTGGCTGTACAGTAAAAAGCATGAGGGACTAGATCTATTCACACTGGAGCAGAGGAGATTTGGTGACAATCTTGTCGATATCTTCATGATCCTGTATGGAATCAAGATCTTCATCATTAATACTGTACATGTTCTGGAACTAGAGGTCACACCTACAAACTGAAGAAAGCGTGGAACTGAGACACCACTTCTTCGCACGGAGTGTGGTGAACATTTGCAACAGACTCTAAATAATATTGTCTGGCCCACCTGACCACTCCAAGAGTTTATTATTTTTGTACACTGATCAGAAATGTGAAATCTAACAAGTTCGAATAATAATTTAACAAAGAAAATCAAAGGCATTGTGCAGTTATTTTACTTTTGTCAACAAAGTATTATCAGAATTTGTCATTTAAAACACTCATTTACATGTACAGTACTTCTGTAGCATTTTAGAACACAATTCAACATACAAGATAAATGAAGCAATGTTAATAAAGTTCACACAATTCTTATATATCTCTCTGCACTCCTTACATTGTACGACTAATTAAGTGATATATAAAAACAAGCAAAACATTCACTATTAATGAAATATACAGAAAAATCTGCCATATGTAAAAGAGCGTTTTTGTCAACTAGCACTAATACATTAGTACAGGATTATACTCACATACACACACACACAAATATACAGTTGCACTTATTTCTGAATAAGTGAGGAAATGAGGAACTTGTGGAGTTGAATATAAGAACATGCTTTTAATAATGTGCAGATTATTTGTGTGATACCGTACTGCATTAGTCCTCTGAATTGATTGTGTTTGGAATCTGATGAGGTTACTTATTATTTACATTCTGATGGTTTGCTTTGTATATTATGTGCTCAACAAAAACTTGGATGACACTGAGAGGAGTTTAGACATTTGCCAATTGATGAATCTGTGGTGCATTTTCCTGTGCATTTTAGTGTTTATTATTGGCCTGACAACAGATATCCATGTTTATGATATCTTCTCTTCAAATGCAATTAAGAGTTTTTGATCCAGGCTTGTGTCAGCTGGGAATTAAACTGAGCCTCTTCCATTTAAATTGTGACACTTACTGGCTGTCAGAGGGAAACATTAATCTCCTCTGTCTGAATTGGATTCACACTGTGAGTATTGAGATCACAATAAAATATGCTCATACACATTGTATTATCAATTTCTTTGACAATGAGTACAAATATTGGAACATAATGAATGTTCTCACTGTATTCAAAAGGTAAAAAGACTTAAGAGTTGACAGTGTCACAGAATACAAGTATAGACCCACTTACATCTGAAATAGTGATTTGAATATTGAAATCTGCATTACTGGACAAGTTAACACAGTAATAATTCACAAGCACTTTTTTTTGAGAATTCATATATGATTACATCTAATAATTTGAAGGCAATGTACTTTCTACGTTATTATTTTCACGTTCAGTCATTTGCATCCGAAAATTTGTGCAGCCAGTCAGCCTCTTTTGGAAGTTGCCGCTGAGCAATATGTAGAGGAAGGGGTTAATGCTGCTGTTGGCGTAGCTGATGCAAATAGAGATGTAATAGCTGATGTAGTAACCAGGAGTCGGCTGCATTGTTTGAAGATTTACCAGTTGCATCACATGATATGGTGCTGAACTAACCATAAATACACCCACAAGCACCAGAACCATTTTGGTTAGTCGCTTCACCCGCTCCCTGGGGATAGTCATGTCATATCTGAACAGCAATAAGAAAAAATGTTTATTTGCAACTCATTTATCAGCATTCATATTATTTACAGCAAGGCTATTCCAGTGCCAACATAACGACATCCTTTGCTCTTTGGATGAGACGTTAAACGTTAAACTGAACTGCCTGTTCAGGTGGACTTTTAAAGATCCCACAGTACTATTCTCCTTGTATCCTAGCCAACAATCCCACAATTAAAATTGGTCACTCACTTCATGGCTGTTTGTAGCACATTGCTGGATGCATATTGGCTGCTGTGCTCCCCCCAAAAACACAGTCACAACACTTTGCAGTATGTTTTGAAGTACTTTGGGAAATCCTCCTGATGTGAAAGGCGCTATACCATATGTAAGGACTATTATTATTATTATTATGGATAATATTATTATGGTTTGCAAGTACACTGAGCTACAGGACTGTGGAGTCCTGTAGCTCAATGGTTAGAGCACTCGCCTCGCAAGCGAGACACCTGGATTCAATTCCCAGCAGGGCAAGTTTCCTTACTCCACATGCCACTGTTTACCTAGCAGTAAGTAGGAACCCGGTTGTTAGTCAATTGATGAATCACTTTTCCAGGGGTAATTATTCCTTTAAAAAAAATTGGTCACTTCAATCCATGATTGTTTGTGGGACACTGCTGTGTGCAATTGGCTGCTGCGTTTCGCCCACAAAATATACAGTCAATTCACTTTACAGTATATTCTGTGAAGCATTTTGAGATATCTCGAAGATGTGATAAAGTGTTATATCAAATGTAAGAATTATTATTATAACAAGTGACAAATCTTAAGATTCATATTGTATCTATAATTTTTAATTTGCAAAACAATTATGTTTCAGTATAATGGGAGCATATCATCATAACAAGTGCTGCATTTCTGTTTTTTTAAGAATACATTAGAATTTGAATTCTAATACTACCTTGGTTTCCACCTCAGCTCGGGTGCTCAGCCAGTACTGTTATGTGCTTTGAGACATCTTGATGATGTGAAATGTTCTGCATTGTATTATAAGTTGCAGTCACTCCACTTTACAGTAAATGCTGTAAATTACCTTGAGACTTCCCCTCCTAACATGAAAGAGGCTATATCAAATGTAAGGATCATTATCACTCAATTTCATTAGAAATTATATGAAAGAAATTGTGTGGCTGTTTCTTTGCCAAAATTGAAGTGATCTTTAATTGCATAGATATGGGGTATAATTCAATTACTAAATGAACTGTATAGAAAGATAGAATTGCTAAAGGGGAAAAGAAAAAAATATTTGGTATGAGAAAGGAAACCGAGCTTCTTGGAGGGATATGAATTCCACTTGAGGTCAGAGGATTCAGTGAGACTGAAAATGTTGATGGATGATGAAAAATGTAAATTGGACACATAGAACAGCTAAGAGGTGGTAGCTTTTTCTTAGAACAGGAATTGAAAAGAACCGTGTCTTTGAGAATTGAAAGATTGTCCCATTAAGACATGAAAGAGATCATGGAAGAGTTGCACTACCATGCTCTGGCAGACAGTAACTTCCAGCTCTGAGACCTCCACTACACAGAACAAGAGCAACAGTACAATACAATTTGCACTTTTATAGTACATTTCACATCAGGAGCATATCCTAAAGCAGCTGAGAGCTCTAAGTTCCAAGTTTGACCTCCAAATTCCTCTCCAAGTCCCACACCACTCTGGCCTAGACATATATTGCCTCCTACACTCCTTCATTATCACTGGGTCAAAATCAAAACCCCCGAACTCCCTATCAAACATTATAGAAGCCCTAGCCCGCAAGGACTACAACACCACCATCACCTTCTCAGGGGAACTAAGAGTGGGGAAGAAATGTTGGCATTGCTAGTGTCACCATATTTTGAGAAAAAGCAAACAAAACACTTGTGATCTCTCAAACCATCATTGTTTTGTTTTTTACACACGTATATATCACAATATATTCAAATGAAGGACCACTGATCAATTTAATGTTACAATCACAAATACGTACACTTTTCAAAATGACATCAGTCTGAAATTAACCATTTAGCCACAAAATTGTGGGAAAGACATTTTGCCTTGTAGAAAATGAGCAGAAATATATTATACTGAAAACAAATGTACCTTCCAGCTCTCTTGTTTTCTTGATAGATCTTCCAAGTGTGGCATAGAATTAATGTGTAGCAGATCAGTATTAGTGGTAAAGGAAAGAAGAAAGAAGTTAAGGTGTGATAGAGCGTATACCTGTGAAAAAGATAAAACATAGAGATAAGTTATCAATAGATCATATGTATTTTTTTTCATTTTGACCAATTATTGTTCAGGCTTTGAATTATTTAGTCTGGAAACTCCAATGGTAACTTTACTGTCTTATTTTCCAATCATTTTATTTAGTAATAGCATTGACCACTGGGTTAGACCTACTGGTCCCTACATTGACAGTGCGGATTGAGGGTGGTATAGAGGAATTGGGTTGAATTGGCAAACTTACTTAATTATGTTTGTCTTTCAATCCCTTTTGGGGTCAGTATTGATAAAAAATATATTGAAGCAGGCGCTAGGACCACAACAGCAATTCAGAAATACCTCTCCCCTTGTATCCATGATACAATGATGTCTTCAGCACCTTGGGACATCCTCCTGACATGAAAGGCGCTATACAAATGTAATTTTGTTTGTTTGTTTGTTGTTTTGTGGCAATGCAGTTTTCACATGATATTGGAGAAAGTAGTGGTCAAAGATGCCTGAACATTTTTTCCTCCAGCATACATTGTGTCACATGACAAGATTTATTTCCCTCACCTTTAATTATTTCATTATAGAATAGAATTATAGAATTATAGAATTATAAAATAAAAATAATTTACTAATAAACATAATTTTTATTTTTGTTCTGGTGTTGAAATAGCCAAGCAAAGACATTCACATATAAAATTGTCCAAGGACAATTGGACAATACTGAGGAGGTATTTTTAATAGTGGGCTTTGACAATGGGGTCCAGCTGTTTACCCTTGGAATATTCAATCAATAATATCAAAGCTAGATTTGTGTCTATTATTCCATCCTAATACTAACATGTAACAGCTGATAAAGAAGTGTTTATTTCATATTATTCCAAAGTAAATCAATAACATGCTGTAAATGTTGCTTTTTATTGTTAAAATGTTTCAAATTGGGGAAGTGGGTTTTCTTTAATGTAAGCTTCTTAAACAAGTTAAAATATGTTAGTTGAGAGAATAGAACGTACACTTACAAATCAAGATTTTTCTAATTTTCTTAAACAGGAATGTTTGGATCATTGTTTCAGATCCTCACATATCTATGCATCACATTATTTGATATTGTCTTATTAAAATATTGCATGACAATTTACTGAACAAATTGCACTATTTTATTTTTATTAGAAAAAAAATAAATAATGATTAATTCCACAAAATTTATAAATGTACTTTAGGTATGAGATTGCTGTAGTTAGAAAGGAAAATGTGCACCAAGAGCTTTCTGTATAAACAATTATGATGGCTATTTAGAAGTACACTTACCAAAGAATGTCCTGTGATGAAGTCAGCTCAAAAGCGCAGCTTTCCAAGCCATCCTTAAATGTAATCACTTTTGCATACATCCAGACAGGCATGACCAATATGAATGAGGTAGCCCAAAGACATAGATTGATTTTAATAGTCTTTGATCTGGTTCTGAAACTTGTCAGACGGAATGGATGAACCAGGGCCAGGTACCTATAACCCAAATTTAGAGATGAGTTTCATAGACTGGTGCCATTTTACAAAGCAATTATTTTTCAAGTTGGGTTTCTGGAGGGATGAGATCAGATGCAATGAAGGGCCTTCTTCATCCAGATCTATTTTGTGATCTTATCTTGTGATGTTATTATAGATAAATGATCTGGATTGCTCCTTAATTATACTTAATAACAGAATACTACATTGGCACTCTAAAGAAACATTCATGTTTCCAGGTATCTTAAGTGTAGTGTGTCTGTAACGATTGAATTAAATGGGCTACTGTTTTATTTCCTGTGTACAATTTGCAAAGAAAAAAAAGTATTTGATTTAATGAAATTTATGTTTTAATTTTTTCCCCAAAGGTGGTTGAGCTATGTTTGGACATTACATGAAACAGAGGTGTATGATGTAAAAGATATTTCACAAGCAGCATTCAGGTTTTGAGGGAACATAATTAGTGTTCATTGTACTGAGAAGCTGGGTCTCGGATAAAATTTGGGAAGTCTGGATCTGCTGGAGAGAATGTGTTTGGATAAATAGTGAATAAAATTAAGCAAAGGAAGATGAACATGTAGGAAAGTGAAATTATTAAAAGAGTGATACTGAGTCAGTCAGGTGGTGAAGCACGTTGGGTCAGTCAGTGCTCAGAGCAATAAATCAGGGTTTAAAGGGAAACAAAGACAAAGTCAAGTGCAGGCACTTACATCATTTGAGTACAACACGAATGGCTGTCATCAATTGTCAATTTGATAGAAAATGAATAAGATCACATAATTCTATCAAACTGTAATACAGTGAACAATGCAAATTGAGTTTTTACCTCAAATTACATAGAATTACATAGAATATGCAACACAGAAGCAGCCCATTCAGTTCAACTGGTCTATGCTCCACATGAGCCTCCTCCTGCCCTTCCTCAACTAACCTATCAGCATAACATCCTATTTCTTTCTCCCTCATGTACTTATCTAGCTTCCCCTTAAATGCATCTATGCTATTCGCCTCAACTACTCCTTGTGGTAGCATGTTCCACATTCCCACCACTCTCTGGGTAAAGAAGTTTCTTCTGACTTCCCTACTCGATTTATTGGTTACTATTTTATACTTATGGCCCCTGGTTTTGGTCTCCCTCACAAGTGGAAACATTTTCGCTATGTCTATCCTAACAAAGTCTTTCATAATTTTAAAGATCCCTCACTAGTCTCTTTTCAAAAGAGGCCAAACTTGTTCACCGTTTCCTGATAGGTATAACCTCGCAGTTCCAGTATCATTCTCATAAATCTCATTTGCACCCTCTCTAGTGCCTCTATATCTTTCTATAGTATGGGGACCTGAACTGTACACAGTACTTCAAGTGTGGTCTAACCAGAGTTCCATATATGTTTAGCATAACTTCCCTGCTTTTCATTTCTATTCCTCTAGAAATGAACCCCAACCCTGGTTTGCTTTTTTATGGCCTTATTAACCTGCATTGCTACTTTTAGCAATTTGTGTATGTGTACTCCTAGATCCCTTTACTCCTCTACCCTGGCCAAATCTTGCTGCCGGACATTACTTCCGGGCGCCTTTTTCAAATCCGCCAGGCTAAGATAAGTATAGTGTATATTCTAATATCCTTCTGCTATCTTGTCCTCCCTTCCCTCCTGGTCTTTGGCACTTAAGTGATGACCGCCACCCCTCTTTCCACCCACTATGCTGTCTCCCGTCCCTCTCGTTGAAGCCTTCCCTCTTGGCTACACCTTTCACCACACCCCCTGCCCCAACCAACATGGCGGCTCTCATCTCCCAAGGTTCCCTAGGTCTATCCCCCAATTCCTCTGGCTGTTTCTCCTCCTTTGAGCACCTCACCCTCCACCATCCCTCCTCTCTCTACCTCAAAATCCTCCTAGTTTACACCCAAACCTTCTGGCTCCTTCCTCACCGATATTTCCTCTCTCCTCTCATCCCTGTCCCTCTGCATTGAACACCTGCTCATAATGGGTGATATCGACCTCTACCTTAACTCCCCTCGCAACACCTCCTCGGCTGCCCTCCTCTCCTCTCCAAACCTCCCCCTCAACATCGATTTGCTGACACACAACCATGGCCACTCCCTTGACCTCGTCATCATGCACGGCCTTGACATTTCCAATCTGTCAATCACGGACAAGTCCATCTCGGACCACTTCCTCATCTTCCTCTCCTCCTGCATCCCCCTCCCCTCTTCCAAACCCTCCACCATTTTTCCGCCCCTGGAAAAAGCTTCTCCCTGAGTCCCTCACAAATGCCCTCTCTTCCTTGGACCTGCTCTCCCTCTGGCCCTCCACCTGCAGCGATCCTGATGAAGCCATCAAGCTTCTAAATGACCGTCTCTCCACAACCTTCAATTCCCTGGCTCCCCTGAAGTCCAGGGTTGCTTCCAAATCCACCCGCTCTCCTTGGTACAACAGTCATCTCTGCTCATTCCAAACACAAACCCGGATTCTTGAGCTTCCAGAGATTGCAGAAAGCCTGCCTCACGACTTACTGCCATCTGTGGCTCGAGCTCATCTGCACTTACCGCCTTTCCCTTTCACAGGCCACAACTGACTTTTACTCCAAAGTCATTCTGGAGGCAAACAACAATCCAAAGATGCTGTTTTCCACTTTCCATCATCTCCTCCGTGCACCCCCTGAAGCTCCCTCTATCCTCACATCAAACGCCAAGTGCGAAGAGGTCCTAGACTACTTTTCTTCAAAAATTAAAAACATCCACTTGGTTGCTTCGTCCTCCCCACCCATGTCCCCTTCCACCCCACCCAGGCCATCCACACCGTCTTTTCCCTCTGGCACCACTCCTTTCACTCCCTCCTCCTTGCACTCCATTGCCCCCATTTCTCTCTCTTCCCTCTCAACCACAATCACCCAGATGAAGTTCACCAGCTGGTTCCTTGACCCCCTCCCCACCCAGCTGCTGGTCACTCGACTCCTCCTTCTCTNCCCCCCCTGCTGAATGACACGGTCAGCCAATCTCTCTCTCCTAAGGCTCTGTTCCACTCCCTCTGAAAACCGCTGTCATCACATCCCTCCTCAAAAAACCCACCCTCGATCCCTCTAATCTCTTATACTACCATCCGATCACCAATCTACCCTTTCTTGCCAAAGTCCTGGAATGCATTGTTGCAGGTCAACTTTGGTCACACCACTCCCTCCTCGAGCCCCTGCAGTCTGGTTTTTGCCCTGCCCACAGCACAGAGACAGCACTTGTCAAAGTCACAAATGATTCCACCATTCACAAGATCCAGTTCATTCAAAACTCTGCCGCCTGCATACTGACCCGGACCAAACTCCATACCCACATCTCACCAGTTCTGGCCAGGTTCCACTGGCTCCTTATCACTGAACGGATCGACTTCAAGATCCTCGCTCTCGTGTTCAAATTCATTCACTATCTGGCACCTCCCTACATCTCTGACCTCCTCACCCCCCAATCCACCACTTGCACCTCCGCTCGACTGGCACCGGCCTCATGCTCATTCCTCACACCCTCCACCCCACAATCGGAGGTTGTGCTTTCAACCACTATGCCCCAAAACTCTGGAACACTCTCCATCATTCCCTCCGCCTTGCCCCCGCTCTCTTCTCTTTCAAGTCCTGCCTGAAGGCTTTCCTATTCGACAGTGCATACGGCCACCTCCCCCCGGCTCGGAGTCAGGCTCCCCCATTTTTAAGCACTATAAGACACTACCCTGAATGGAGGGCGCTATATAAGCGCAAGTTGTTGTTGTGCCCCATTTAGATTTGTATTTTCCAGGCAGTATGTGACCTCCTTATTCCTCCTACCAAAATGTACCACCTCACACTTATTTATATTGAAATGAATTTACCAATTAAATGCCCATTCAGCAAGTTTACTAATAACTTGTAATTTGTTGCAATCCTCCTCAGTATTAACTACACCCCCAGTTTGGTCGTCCGCAAATTTTAAAATTGTACTTTCGATCTCTGAGTCCAAATCGTTAATGTAAATTGCGAACAACAGTGAGTCACCATACTGATCCCTGTGGAACACCACTCCTCACCCTCTGCCAGTCTGAGTAGCTACACCTATTCTCAATTTTCTGTCTTGTAGCCAGCTTGCTATTCTCCCCTTATAAATATAGTATAACATTAGCTATCCTCCAAACCTTTGGCACTGCTCCCTTTTCTAATGAATTATTATATATATGTAATAGTGCCTCTGCTATCTCTTCTCTAGATTCTAATATACGCGGATGCAATCCATCCGTACCAGGGGTTTTATCCTCCCTGAGCTTGGTTAGTTTATCAATTATTCCCCTCCTCTTTTTATCTTAAATATATTTATATAATTTTTGTTCTTCTACTGTCAGGTCCACCTGATCCATCTCCCTGGTAAATACTGAGGCAAAGTAATTATTCACTATTTCTGCCATTTTGTTGTCACTGCCTGTGAACTTATCTTCTCCATCCCTTAGTAGCCCTATTTCTGTTTTGATTTTTCTGTTTTTATTTATGTCTGTAGAATATTTTACTATTTCATTTTTATATTCCTTGATAATTTAATTTCATAGTTCCTCTTTGCCTTCCTAATTTGCTCTATCTCTTTGTTTGCCAATATTGTTTTCCAGTTTATTTTCCCTAGTTCCATTCTCATCCCCTCAAAATCTAATTTTTCCATTCTATTACCCTGGTCTTTGTCATATGTATGTCCTACTCAATCTTTATCTTAAACCTTATGATCGTTATTGTCTCGATGTTCCCCTATTCTTACTTCGCTTATCTGCTCTGGTTCATTTCCCATTACTAAATCCAGCAGTGATTCCTCCCTTGTTGGGTCTCTTACATACTGGATAAGAAAGGAGTCATGTACACACTGAAGGAACTCCATTCCCTAATCCACTTTATCTTCCTCTTCTAGCCAACTTATTTGGGGGTAGTTGAAATCCCCCATGATTATTACTCCATGTATTTTATTAATTTCCTTAATTTTCTTGCATATTTCTTCCTCTACCTCCCCTCCACTATTGGGTGGTATGTAGAGGGCCTCTATTTGTGTGATTCATCCCTTCTTATCTCTATCCACACAGATTCTGTTCCTATCTTACTAATGGCTATGTCACTTTTTTCTACTGCCATGATGTTATCCTTAATACGTACAGCTACTCCACCGCCCTTTTTCCCATCTCTATCCTTGCTAAATATGTTATACTGCAATGTTTATTTGCCAGTCCTGTTCTTTCTGTAGCATGTTTCAATAATCCCTACTATATCTGGTTCCTCACTATGAATTATTGCCTCCAGTTTTCCTGTTTTATTTCAGATGCTGTGTACATTGCTGTACAGACAGATTAATCTGTTTTTATTAGTTGATCCTCTCACTTTATTTTTGACAGTCTTTTCACACTTCTGTTCTATAATTCTATTAATTCCCTGACCATGTATATTCTCCTTATTCCTTAGTTTTGTCTAACTTATACTCTCATCTCCTGTTTTCTTTATATTTGGGTTTATGTCATTTCCTTCTGATCTCTCTTCCCATTTTACTAGTTTGAAGCCTTTGCCACAGCCCTATTTATCCTTTCCGCTCAGACACTAATCCCATTTTGGTTCAGGTGGAGCCCATCCCATCAGCACATCTCCTTCCTGTCCCAGTACTGGTGCCAGTATCTGATGAAAAGGAACCCTTCTTTCCCACACCCATCCTTTAGCCACGTGTTAATTTTCCTAATCTGTTTCTCCCTACTCCAATTTGCACAATCCAGAGATTATTACTGAGGTGTTAAAATTTATTCTGAAAATAATGGAGATTAGAAATGTTCTGTAATGCTCCTTAATTGTACTGCATCGGCACTAAAAAGAAACACTCATGTTTTCAGGTACACTAAGTGTATTGTGTCTGTAATGACTGAATTAAATGGGCTCCTGTTTTATTTCCCGATGAACAATTTCTAAGGAGAAAGTGACTATAAGCATTAATCCTACAAATTTAACATAAACATACAATTATATCCTCTAAATATAATGCTGATTTCAAGCTCCAGGGATTTTCATCTGTAGTATGAAATTATATATTCTCCTGTCAGTATACTTTCTGCAAGACCAATTGACAAATAAGTGTGAAAAGTGAAAATACATTTGGACTAAAAAACAGACAGTCTGCTCCCATGTTAATAATATTCATTAAAGTACTCCTTTCAGATCAATACTGATTAAGATTTCCTTTACAAAAATACTGCAATCAATTAAAAACAAAATCAATAATCCAGGAACAATATGTCACTGTCGATAGACTGGCAGACCATTAATAATCATATGAGATCTGAGGTCACTGAAATTGGGAGGGGCAATTTTAAAGTGATCAAATAATTAAAAAAATGAGATATGGATTTTGGATTTTTTAGTTTCTTACTTTTCTCATTGTCCCTCCTCTTTGATTTGCTTAGCTTAGGCATTGATGTTTTTCACAAGGCAAGTCTGCTGCACAAATGCTCCCAAAATCCCAGTACCTTGCTGACAAATGTTGTGAATCTCCCTCTCGTTCTTCTCATCAGGGAGAAAATTGAGTCTCTGGTCAGGACCTGAGCAAAGGTGGGACCCAAACTTTGTTCCTCACTTCATGCTACTGAACGTCATATCTCTATCATTCAATGTCATTAAGTTGTCCCCTAGTTCACTGTATTCTAATTGAATGATGCGTCAAATTATTATATGAGTTATAATAATAATAATAATCCTTGCGTTTGATATAGCGCTTTTCTCGTCGGGAGGACGTCCCAAAGCGCTTCACAGAACACACTGTAAAGTGAATTGACTGTATATTTGCGGGCGAACGCGGCAGCCAATTGCTCCACGTATTAACTCCATGAGTTAATACACTGATCTGACCATTCCTCAACTTAACCTAATGAGTAAGGTTACTACAATCTTGTTTTTAATTTGACATTATATACTGAGTGGAGAATGCTCCTAATAAAGTACAGATATTATTTGACTGCCAATTTGCAAAGTCGGAGTACTGTAGAGAAATGTTAGGTTATATATCTAAACATTTACCCATATACAAATCCTGGATGTACCTATTGGCTTTCACTGTCAGTATTCAATAGGGAATTAGACAAATATTTGAAAAGGAGAAATCTAAGAAGGCTTTAGCAGAGAATTGAGGTTAGAGTAGTTAACGCCAACTGGTGAACTCGCACCAGTTTAGGCTTGAATGACCTATGCCTTTTGAGATGAAAAATGTGACCTGTGATGTGCTTACTAACGTTGGTTGTTGATAAATGCATTGAAAAGCAGTCGATGACTAGATTGCCAAAAATGTAATAAAGATGGCATCCCCAAACTGATAATCCAAAACTGTAGCTAGTGGAGATTGTGTTTATCAATGTGTTAATTAATACGTTACAATTTGCATCCTTATGATTCTAAGACTTGTTAAGAGCAAGACCTAAGATCAGACCACAGGAGTGGTCATTACATTCATATAATGAGGACTTATTGGATTTGACTAGTTATGATATTTAATTTGTTATTGTTAATAGAGGGAAAGGGGCAAGGCGACTAGGAACGGTGGAGGCTCCTGTGGAGTATGAGCACTGGCACCAAGTAGTTAAACCGAATTGCCTGTATCTGTGCTGTAACGTTCTATTTGAATCTATGTAATATATTTCCAAAACTCTTAAGTGAAAAACTCTACTCCACAATTTGTGTTGAAATATTTCAAGCACTTTGAAAGATTATGCATATTCTAGTGCCCTCACTGAAAATCATTGTGTATTATTCTTGCTGTAAACTAAAATTGTGAGATTGAACTGTCACTGAAGTGAAAACATTCCAGTGGCAAAGTGAGGACAGTATCTTTTAATGAGGAGATTTGAATTCTTTCCTTGCAGAAAAAGAAAATAAAGAGCAGACTGCCACCAAAGGGCAAGTTAATAACCACAGTAAAGTAGATTTTCAAGAAATGTTTTAAATTTAACATTACCATACATATGAAATAATTTCAAAAGTACCTTTTAAAGAACTCTTAACCATCCTGTAAGGCTACTGAAATGTGCACAATGTGCAACTTTTTAAATCTTTGAGATACTTCAATTAATATTGGTCTTCAAGAGGCATAATGGAGATTCAATCTGATCTGTTAATTCTCTCATATCCCAGGATTTGTTTCTGGAGTGGTTGAAAGTGGTCCATATTTTCTTGCAAACAAATCAGTAAAATGATAACAGCTTTTTAAGAGACCTACTTGCAATTGCACAACAGCTATTTTATAATTATAACTTGTAAGTATAATTATTAACATTGTAATCATTGTAATCCAAAATAAAACAATAATAAATTGGTCATTTTCAATCTACGACTGTTTGTGGGACACTGCTGTGCGCAATTGGCTGCCGCGTTCGCCCACAAATATACAGTCAATTCACTTTACAGTGTGTTCTGTGAAGCGCTTTGGGATGTCCTCCTGACGTGAAAAGCGCTATATCAAATGCAAGGATTATTATTATTATTATTAATTGTTAATAATATTATTCAGCAAACATCAGTCTGCTTCATGTCCCATGTCCAATCTGCACCACCATCGGTGAATGAGCTTTCAACCATATTGTCCGTGCTCCCTGGAACTCCATCCTCAGGTCGCTCCACCTTGTCTCCTCCCTCTCTATCTTTAATACCCACCTTCAGACCTATCTCTTCAACTGTGCTTTCATCCACCTTCTCCTACCCCAAGCTCCAGCTGTCCCCGAGCTCGGGCTCCCTGTTAATTATGTGACCACATTGAGACATCATCCCGAGTGCACTATAAATACAAATTATTATTAATATTGTATACCATTGTGATAAATATTCTTAATGAGGCTTTTCCTTACCTGTCCAAGCTCATAGCTGTCATAATTGCGCAGCAGGCAAACTGATTACAGCTATCTAGTGATGTGATGATTGTACACAGAGCATTGCCGAACACCCACTTTCCTCCTTGGGCCCACTGATGAATCAGAAATGGCATTCCAATGATGTGAGCCAAATCAGCCACTGCCAGGTTACAGATATAAATATCTGGGATGGTTTTTCTTGCTGACCTGAAATATATGCAACAAATTCCATTAAATCTCAATGTCTGGTGTATTGGCAAGCCGACAGCTTCTTCTTGATAACATTGAATCATTTTTTAACTTCTCCTTAATGTCTCTTTTTTCTTGACATTTTTTTCTCCCCTGTAATCCTTTCCCCTGGCTATTATTTTGTTATTCAACCCACCTTCAACTCATTTTGTACACACACCTATGCACATGGTTAACCCAACCTGCAAAATTACATTTATCTAGTCATATTTTGGATTTTGCCCACAAAATATAATCAATCCACTTTACAATATATTTGGCAATTTAGTCATCAACTGTCTTCAATGCAGTTATTAACAATGTGATAATTATTACCCATGTTAATAAATACATCACACTGTGGAGAGGTGCAACTATTTTTTTCTTAGCTTAGGGAGGCTCACTGTGACAAAGTTTGAGAATCCCTGCTATATAGCAAACACAGATCATGTCAGTTTGCTCTTTTGTGTTTGGTTGTGGTTATTTTTAATCCTCTTGATTTATTTTGAAACAGATTCTGAAATTCATTTGGAGAACTGTGAACATCTGTGCCATTGTGTAGCAAATTATAAAGACGCCCTTCTCTGGCAAGAGTTTGTTTTTAAAAAAGAGTGAACTATTTCATCAAGATTATAAATAGCTGAATCTGAAAACTTGTGAAGAACTTTGAGATGTTCTCCAGAAGTGAAAGGTACTGTGTCAAATGCAAGGACTATTTATTTTTAAATGCAAGGAATATTTATTAATATTAATCCTAATTTAAGAAAGCTAATAGGTGTATAGGTAGAGCTCATAGGAGCAAAATTTAAAGAAGGTACAGATCATACAAACAATTTGTTTAAACATGGAAACAGGAATATCTAACCAGTGAACCATTTGTCTCGTCAGTTCTAATATGGTCAAATGATGTTTCTTTAGAAAAGAAAACAAATCCAGTTGAAATAGGGATACAGTAAATCCCTGGTTTACTTCAGATATTCAGAATTTATACCAAGATGGAATTTGCTCACTCACGTGTAGATTCCCTCCAGCCCAACTCTATTATCTCCCTCACTTCATCATGCTTGCAGACCTTCAATGGATAGGCAGGGAGACTGACTTTGATTCAGTTTGAATCTCATGAACAGATTCAGGTAGTTGGATTCAAATAATTACAATGCTGGTGCCGACACTGGAAAAAGACGGTAAATGTCACGATTGGGATTGAAATTATACTTGGGTGGGAATTCTGACTTGCAAAACCAGAGTGGTCCTGCTAGCTGGGGTTTTAGTGTAATTTTTTTCAATATTATCCCAAATATTATCCCAAATAAATAGCAAGTTTCCTTACTCCACACGCCTACTAATAATCCCTCCAAAAAACAATAATAAATTGGTTATTTTCAATCCACGACTGTTTATGGGACACTACTGTGCGCAATTGGCTGCCACATTTTGCCCACAAATACAGTCAATTCACTTTACAGTATATTCTGTGAAGCACTTTGAGTCGTCTAGAAAACGTGAAAGGTGCTACATCAAATGCAAGGATTATTATTAAATACTACCTTTTGTACCATAAGAACATATCCCTGTACTTTTAGTTTCAGGACAACTGAGAGCTGTCAGCCTGGCTCGGTTGGTAGCACCCTGGCCTTTGAATCAGAAGGCTATGGGTTCAAGTCCTATGTCAGGACTTTGAGCTCATAGTCTAGGCTGACACTCCAGTGTTGGAGATGCATTTTCTGGGGTGAAACATTGGACCAAGGTTCTATGTACGTGTTCATATGGATCTTAACAATCCATGATGCTAAGTTTCTCTTGGTGTACTGACAATCCCCTGGATAAAAATGGTTATTCACTTTGTGGCTGTTTGTGGGACATTGCTGTACATAAATTGGATGCAGTGTGTGCCTACAAAAAATAGTTATTACCCTTTGCAGTAAATTTTATGATGCACTTTGAGATTTCATCCTGACACAAAAGGCACTATATCAAATGCAGCAATTAGTATTGTTAAAATACCTAGAGGATATACTTTATTGGATGTGCTACAAGGCAGAAAAATCTGGCAGTACATCAAAGGTACCTGTAATCAAAACGTGAGCAGCTTATCAATGCATCTGTGCCTCAATTTCATTACTGCTTCAAAATTTGCTTCTGTGTGTGAATATTTTATTTGAGTAGAGGTGAATGTTTTGTATATCAAGGTTAGAAATATCATTACTAGGAAATTGAACATTTATCTATTTTGATCTTCCAGGGTTTTTCTCAGCTTTTAGGTACATTTTTCATCCTTGTGCACGAACATCAAACTGAGAATTGCTCTCTTCTGCTACCACCGGTGTCAGGATTAAGCATGTTCAGATCAATTACAAAACAGTCTCGATCAAAGCTTCTTCTGCTATGGCTTAATCTAAAAAAAACACCAGCAATACCAGGATGACTTTTCTATTTACCAGATTTTTCAAAGTACTAGAAACCACATAATCCCTGCTATATAGCAGCTTGGTACATGCTTAGTTATCTCTATGGGTTATCTGAGTAATACTTGCTTAGTTACAATCTAATAATGATAATAATTTATGCCAAGATATGGATATTTTTCCTCTGGGGCCACACACACTAGAAACTGGGTTGATGTGGCCCAAAGTCATTTCACAAATGATCCTTACAGCCAGTGCACAGATTGTACCTTCATCCCATCAGTACTGGCTGGATTGTCAACTATTAATGAGCATTGATTACCACAGCATTATTATGGATGGGCAAAAAATCCTGTACCATCTATACAAATATTATTTACTTTTGTACCATCGTTCCAAAGTGAAAGGTGTAATATAAATGTAAATTTGTATTGTATTATATTTAGACAAACTGGTTAAAGCATCTTATAGATGCATTCTACATAGGTTTTAGGAATATCTTGCTTTGCCTCTAACAAATTCAAATTTACAATGTTAAATCCAGAATTCAGCCTGGCTCACTTGGTAGTACTCTCAGCTCTGAGTCGAAAGGTGGTGGATTCAAGATCCGTGTTGGGAACTTGAACTCACAGACTAGTTTGACACTCCAACAAAGTCCTGGGGGAGTGCTGCTGCATTGTTGAAAGTGTCGTCCTTTGGATGAGATGTTAAACCAAGGTCCCCCAATGCTTCTTCAGGAGAATATTAAAAATAATTCAAAAAGAGAATGGTGTTTTTCCTGTTGTGATGTTCTCCTGATGCTTTGAGCAGTTTGTCTAGATGGTATGAAATTGTGTCCAGCCTATATCAATGAAGTGGTAACTGATTAATAGTTCACAAAAAGTTAAATAGCATTTTATTAGAAATTAGTTGGTTAATATAAGTTACTTAGACCAGTGAGACAGTACCAAAGGGCACTAGGTTTTCCATTTTTTAATTATATGCTGCAAGGCCTTTAAAGATCACTGCATCAAGTGTTATTCCTGTAAACCTGTCTGAAATATTGCATGGAATTTAGGATGTAAATGATGATCCCAGCATGAGGTTGATTGATAATATATTTTAAACATTTAATGGCATATATTCGTTGAAACTAAAAAAAATCAAGTAATAATTTCAATCAGCAATCTTTATTGTAATGTGGTTATACATAGCTCAGTGGCAGCACATCACAAATAATTGCAGATGAATTGAAAAGGATAACCTTTTCACTTACCTCTTAATGAGAACGTTTATAGCGGAAACTAATCATAATAGATAGAGAAGCAGTTATGAAACTGCAAAAGCTGTGGATATGAAAATGCATAGCCATGTAAGAAACTTTACTCTTGGCAAGAAATAACATGCTATTAAAATGATACCAGCCATTAATACTGCCTAATAATGTGTACTATGAACAAAGCAATTGCCATTACATGATCAATGCTGCAACATTTTGCACATTATTAGTGGGATTTTACTGACATCAGCACATCTACAACACAGCATTGTTTAGATTGAAAGGGGTCTCATCAGCTGTGTATTACAGTAATACCTTACAGTGGTTAGACCTGTATTACATTACCTTACAGTGCTGTATGCCACCCCCGTAAGCAAGGTGAATATCTATCCCCACGTGAAAGAATTAAAATGCACAATTTCATTTCCAAAAGGGCTGCTTCCCAATCTCTTGGTTGCTAAATAAAGAAGTGACATCGGTGCTAAGCAACTCTCAGGCATTTGAAGGGTAGTAATCTCTCAAAAATATTTTTTAAAAAATGATAATCTGTTCACTCAATCCATGACTGTTTGTGGAACGCTGTTGTGTGCAATTGGCTGCCATGTTTTGACCACAAAATACAACAACAACAAGATCAATACACTTTATAATATATTCTGTGAAGTGCTTTGAGATGTCACAAAGATGTGATAAGGCGCTATATCAAATGCACGGATTAGTATTATTATCCAACATTCTTGGGTTGGAGTCAATAGTGGGTGACTGTTTTCTCACTTACTAAACAAGGACTTTTGGATAAATTGCAGAATGGTTTGAAATTGGCCAAAGTGTATTTCACAAGATTGGTTTGTATGCAGAAGGCCCTTCAGCCTATCTGATCTCATCCCTCCAAAACACCCACCCTGTCATCCCCTCACTGCATTAAGCTGTTTTTAAAATGAGCTGTTTTACGCTCAGTAAAGAAAAACTTCCTGTTATCTGTCCTGAAGTTGCCACTTACAATTCTAATTCTATCCTTTTGTACTACTGTCTTGATGCATCCTAAAGTAATGATCTGGGTTACATGGACACTCTGGCACTGTACATAATAATTATAATCCTTGCCTTTTCTATAGTACATTTCACCTCAGGAAGACGTTTCAAAGCACTTCAAAGGATTTACTGTAAACTGTAAGCAGACATCCCTCAGATACCATGTTGTTGTTTAGTTCTGTTGGTTTGCTTGGAGGTTCCCTGAGCAAAGGTAACTTTTCAAACTATGGTCCAGGAATAAGGGTAATATAGAACCAACATAAAATTTATATGTGGCTCCCTATCACGGAACAATTTGAAAACAAGAACTTTGGCTTAAGTGCTGCTGTGGGCAGCTTTCCCAATTATTCTGTTTCTTCTAGAATTGTGGGTAATAATAACAAACCTTGTATTATTATTTGAATTGAGGGTAGTTTTGCTGATTATATTTTGTGAACTAACAATTTCTAACTGAACAATATTTCTATCACATCGAGGTGTAGATTGTGTGCAATTTGGCTGCCACATTCATCCACAAAACATACAGCTACTGCACTTTACACTATATCCTGTGAATAATAATTATAATCCTTGAATTTAATGTAGTGCCTTAACGCATTGTTGAGCCGCCTCAAAGAGTTTCACAGGAGATACTGGAATATGCAATTCATTGACATCAGCCTTAGACAAATACTTACCATTATAGAATGCATTCATTTATGAATTTATGCACCAAACAAGTCAGACAATGCTCCATATTTGTAATAATCCATTCATTGTTTTTACTTGTATTTGATCAAGAACAGCTCATTCGTACTCTGCTTGCATAATGGAGCAAAGCAACAGAGTGAAAATATTTTAAAAATCTGGTATTGCTCTAAATGTTTCCAAAAAAGTGAAACAAATCTCAGTCGGCTTCCTGTGGGATGGGAAATTTAACTAGGATGCCTTTTCCAGGGCTTTTCCCCACAACTTTCCATTGTTCAGCCAAGATTAGTACAAGCAGTAGCTTGGAAGCAGGTCAGGCACCCTTAGCACTGACTGTTCATTGCCACAACAACAACTTGCACTTATATAGCGCCCTCTATTCCCGGCGGGGTCTCAGAGCGCTTAACAATGGTGGAGCCCAAGGCTGAGCCAGAGGGAGGGGGAAGGTGCCCATAGGCGCAGTCAAAAAAGGTCTTCAGGCGTGACATGAAGATGGGGAAGGAGGGGGCAAGGCAAAGGGATTGAGGGAGGAAGTTCCAAAGTTTTGGGGCATAGTGGCTGAAGGTACGGCCACCGATGATGAAGCGGAGGATTTGGGAGACACAGAGGAGGCCGGACCCAGTAGATCGGAGCAGCGGGTACTACTGTAGGGAGAGAGGAGGTTGGAGAGATAGGGGGATGCCAAGGAATGGGGGGATTTAAACACTAGTGTGAAGCTCTTGAAGTCGACAGGGAGCTAGTAGAGTTTGGCAAGGATGGGAGTAATCAGGGTACGAAGTTTGGTGCGGATGAGAATGTGAGCGATGGAGTTTTGAATGAGCTGGATTTTGTGGATAGTGGAGGAGGGGAGACCAATGAAGAGGGCATTAGAGTAGTCCAGCTGAGAGGTGACAAAGGCATGGACAAGGGTTTCAGCAGCTTTTGGGACGAGATATTGTTGTGGCAGAGGTGGAAAAAAGCGGAGGTTCCAATGAAGGAAATGGAAGGGGAAAAAAAAACTTAAGAGAAAAATTATGCATTATATTTGAAAAATTGTGTATACAATGAGATTAGATAGACTTTCCTCGAACAGTCTCAGCTTTACAAAAACTTGGAAGCATAATTAACTTTTGGCAGGCAGTTCTTATCTCAATTTTGTGGCTGTTGTTCCAATTAATTAGATCAGATATTTGCATGAAAAAAAAATCCTGCTTCTGGAAACTTGTGAAGCTGGTTCATCATATCCAAAAGGCACATGCAATAAATGATTGGAATACGTTCAAATATAGAAATGACCATATTAATGTTGACTTAATAAATTATATTAAAACAGATCTGTGATTTGTCTATTTACTTGTGCACTTCGAGCTCGGATTAAAAAAGTTTTTCCCCCCCCATGACATATACATATGTATTACCACCATAATTATTTCTTCTGCCCTATCATCTGTATTCATTTTTGTCTCAAGACCCTCCTCTTTGACCAAGCCTTTGTTTACCCTCATTCAGCCCCTGCCCTCCATGATTCCGACCCCCAGCTTGGGTCCAAAACAGATTGTCCAGCACCTTCGAACGTTCTCCCAATATGAAAGGCGCTATACAAATGGAATTTTGTTGTTGTTTTGATTAATTAGTGTCTCAGCATAGCCTTGCCAAATACATTTAAAGCTATCTGATTTGTTTTACCTTGGCGATGCCTGCACATAGATCTTGACCTTCGTTTGTACTGGCAAGAGAGCCAGAGGTTCGGTGAAATAAATGCAAGAAAATTGTATCATTGCAATTCAATTTTATCTTTGATTGACAGATATGATTGACACTGTGTAGGTTTTTGTGACAAAAAAACACTGTTAAGAACTAACAACAATCACTTTTTAGGGTTTTTTGTACCTTATGATAGTAAACAGAATGAGGGTGTTTCCAACCAATCCTGTCGCACAGATAATGCCAACAAGAGAAGGGAGAATGATGGTTTCCATAACATTGACCATCTGGTATTGATGCACTGTGGTCCAAGATTTGTTTGACCCATCAGATGCAGTGTTCCCGGTCCACCAAGGTGACAAAGTTTCATTCATTGTTGATGCCTTTTAAATTCCTTTTGCTGAAATGAGAAAAAACAATTTAAATTTGTATAGCACCTTTCATAATTGGGAGGATGTCCCAAAGCACTGTACACAGCTAACTGGGCACCCGAACTGGGAGGATTGGACCTGAGGAGGGTAAACGTGACCAAAATAGGTCTTAAGTCAGGTTCAGTACCTCTAGCAAACAGGAGGGTAGAAATATCATCTGTGGTAGGATTCACTCATTAAGCATTTCAGAGCATCCCAGAACTTTTTTAAATTCAGTCTATTTTTGAAGTAGTCTTTTCTATATATTCTTTTAAGAACAATGGAAAACAGACTTCAAAGTTAAACCCAAATTCAACAATTTATCAAATTCTGCACATTCTGAAATGTATGTTAAAAGAGTAATTCTATACCCAGTTGGAATTTATACACAAACACGTTAGGTCAGTTTGTCTTTTTTACTGTCTAGGCACTTTTTTAAAAAAATGAAGAAAATACACCATTAGATTTTTTTTACTTAAACAAAAATAAATGAGAATGATCCACAGAGATTGTTTTAATATACAGTATATAATTGATAGACACTTATTTTATAGTAACAAGAACAGTAATAATAATATTGTGACATTTGTGCCTTTCATTAGTATTGGCTTTGATCTAGTCAAGTGTCATTTAAGAGGTCACATGTACACTTTACAACAACAACTTGGATTTATATAGTGCCCTCCATGCAGAACGACGTCTCAGAGCGATTCACAGTAACGGATCCCGGGGCCGAGCCAGGGGGAAGGGGAGGAAGGTGACCAAAGGCGCGGTCGAAAAGAAAGGTCTTCAGAAGAGATCTGAAAGTAGGAAGAGAAGAGGCGAGGTGAAGGGAGTGAGGAAGGGAGTTCCAGAGCCTTGGGCCATAGTGGCTGAAGGCACGGCCGCCGAGGGTGGAGCGGAGGACACAGGGGACAACAAGGAATGAAGGCAACAGGCACTGCTTTGAGGAGAGAGGTCAGAGAGGTAGGGGGGTGCAGAGGAGTGGAGGGATTTGAAGACAAGGGTGAGGATCTTGAAGTCGATCCTTCCTGGGACAGGCAGCCAGTGCAGTCTGGCAAGGACTGGGGTGATCGGGGAGCGGAGTTTGGTGCGGGTGAAAATGCGGGCGGCAGAGTTTTGAATAATCTGGATTTTATGGATGGTAGTGGAGGGGAGGCCGGCGAGGAGGGCATTGAATAGTCCAGCCGAGAGGTGACAAAGGCATGGACCAGGGTTTCAGCAGCTTTTGGAGTGAGGTATTGGCAGAAACAGGCGATGTGTTGGAGATGGAAGAAAGCGGTGCTGGTGAGGGACCGGATGTGGGGGAGGAAGGATAATTGGGGGTTGAACCTGATGCCTAGGTTGCGTACAGGTTCGGAGAGTTTTAGGGGGAGGTCGGGTCAGTGGAGGAGGTGAGAACCGTGAGATTTTAGACGTTGATGAGAGCCAAAGAATATGGCTTCCATCTTGTCAACATTCAGCTGAAGGAAATTTGCGCTCATCCAGCCCCTGAGGTCTGACAGGCAGGCTGACAGAACATCAGGGAACTGGGGGTCGCAAAGAGAGATGGAAAAATAGAGTTGGGTGTCGTCCACATACATGTGGAAATGTACCCCATGTCTGCGGATGACATCCCCAAGAGGGAGCATGTAGATCAGAAAGAGGAGGGGGCCAAGGATGGATCCTTGGGGTACCCCGTAGGTAACTGGGTGAGAGCGGGAGGAGAAGCCGTTTGTGCAGATGTACTGCTGGCGGTTTGAGAGATAGGACTCAATCCAGGCGAGTGCGGTCCCATGAGGTGGATGATGGAGGAAAGGCGGTGGAGGAAGATGGCGTGTGTTGAACGCGGTGGAGAGGTCCAGGAGGACAAGGAGACAGAGGGAGCCCTGGTCATAGATAGAGAGGATGTCGTTTGTGACTTTCACAAGCACAGTCTCTGTACTGTGGGCAGGGCGGAAACCGGACTGGAGGGGTTCATAGAAGGGGTGGGAGGCAAGGTGTGCGCGAAGGTGATTGGCAACAACACGTTGTAGGACTTTTGCAAGGAAGGGCAGGTTAGAAATGGGGTGGTAGTGGCTGGAGTTTGAGGGATCTAGGGAAGGTTTTTTTGAGGAGTTTTACACCAGCTTTATAAAACTCGAACTAATCATATGAACAAAAGTAACCATACACTCTGATCTAAATCAGGACTCAATAAAAATTCTTCAAGAGCAAATGCTAAGCAAAGTTCCCATACTGAATGTCTGTCTAAATTATTTATAGTGGAATTACCCATCCATTTTATATTTTTCCCCAATTAGTGCAATCCTAATCTTCATTATGCCTCCATTTTAAGAACACAATCTATGTGTTCAAACCTAGGCAGTCAGATAATTGACTGGAAATAAATAAGACAATGGTAAAGACTCATTCTTTTTCCTTCCCTTATAATAATCCTTGCATTTGATCATGTCATTGAGACATCTCAAAGTGCTTCACAGGATATTATGTGAAGTGTAGTGACTGTATTTGTAAGCAAACTTGTTCTAGTTGCAGCCAATTTGCACGTAGCAATTTCCAACAGACAGAATGACAAATTTCATTAGTTCCCTTCTCTTTTCAATAATATTTTGAATCAATCTACAATCTACATTATCTAATGTCTCCAATGCTCATCACACTTCTGATGCCTCTCTTGCCTTCTACCAAGGAATGACAAGGTTCCCCCCCAAAATTACGTCGGTTAAAAATAATTAGAGAGGTCAAGAAAAAGATTGAAAGACTAATGAGAGCACTTCAAGTAATATTAAATAATTACCAAGTTTGATATAGCTATTATGTACATAGAATGGAAAATTGGGAATGAGGACATGGAAATAATAGTATTATTTTCATATAATGTCACTCAAGTGAAAGCTGGTCAGATTCTAGATCTAAGCATTTGGTTCTGGAATCTTTAATTCAAATAGAAATTAGTAAACCAAATTGTAGCAGCACTCTGACCTATGAGATCAAAGTCCTGACCAGGGTCTTGAACTCATAACCTTCTAACAAAGTTCTGCTAACTGTGCCAGGTTGACAGCTTCACAAGAACACAAGATCCTTTCAGAATACCCACCCTACTGTTTTCCCATCACAGCATCAAGCTTTTTTATATGAGTGCAGTGTCCTGACCTCAATCATCCTTTCTGGCAACCTGTTCCAATCATTAATTACTCCCTGGTATCTGTCCTGAAATTGCCTATTGCAACTCTAAACATGTGCCTTCATGTTCCATTGTCTGGAAAGTATTTTTTGAAACTGAAAGTATTCTTCTGGGTTTGCTTTTTCGATCCCGATCAAAATTTTATAAACCTCTATTAAGGTCCCCACTGAGACGTTGCCTTGTCTGATTGCTGTTCATAGCCTTAAAGCCAAGGTGACACCAGAACTCTGCAGCCCATGTCCTCTCCTGCACTAGGCTCCATGACCTTTTTACCCCCATCTTTGCCCAAATCCACTGGCTTCCCATCACACAGAGGATATAGTTCAAGATCCTGGTCCTCACCTTCAAAGCCCTCCATGTCTTGCTGCTTCCTCCCCTGCCCTCCCCCACCCCGACCCTCAGCTTGGGTCTGTAACTCTGTCTGTCCAGCGCCTTGGAACATCCTCCCGACATGAAAGGCGCTATACAAACGTAATTTTGTTGTTGTAGTAGTAAAGCAAAATGCAGTCACATTCCAATCAGGCACTCACTGCATGCTGCACAAAATAGGCCTTGACAAATAATGTTCTGTTCACCTGTGACCAGGGCTCTCTCTGTTTCCTTGACCTTCTTGACCACTGTTCTTCTCCACCTCTTCTTCTCCACCTCACTGGCTCTATTCTTGCCTGGTTCCAATCCTACCATTCCCATCATCTGCACTTCGTGGCCACCAACGGCTTCTCATCTAGCCCCCGCACTGTCACGTGTGGTGTCCCTCAGGGCTCTGTCCTTGGTCCCCTTCTCTTCAATCTATACATGCTCCCGCTCGGCAATGTCATCCGCAGGCATAGGGTCAATTTCCACATGTATGCGGATTACACCCAACTCTATCTCACCACCTCCATCCTAAACTCCAGGACTGTTGATGTCCTGGCTAATTGTCTGTCTGACATCAATTCCTAGACGAGAGCCAATTTCCTCCAACTTAATTTTGGCAACACGGAGGCCCTCCTGTTCAGCTTCCGGCTGTGCCTCCTCACCTCAGCGCTGACACTATCACCATTTATGGCTGCACTCTTCACCTCAACAAGCCAAACCGCACCTCAGTGTCCTTTCCGACCCTCAGCTATCCTTCAAATCCCACATTTGTGCTGTGACCCATTCCATTTTTCCACATCCCCGTAACATTACTTGCCTCTACCATTGCCTCTCACCGCAGGCTGACGAGACTCTGATCCATGCTTTCATCACATCCCAGCTTGAATACACCAACGACCTGCTCACTGGACTTTCCAACTCTTCCCTCCGCAAGCTGCAGATTATTCAGAAATCTGCAGCTCATGTTCTCTCCCGCACCAGGCTCCGGGAACCTAGCACCACCGTTCTTGCCTAGCTTCACTGCTCCCCATCTCTCAGAGAATCGAGTACAAAACTCTTGTTCTTACCTTCAAGGCCCTACACACTCTTGCTCACCCTATCTCTGTAACCTCATAACCCCATATCAGCCTGTCCACTTCCTCTGCTCGGCAGACACCGGCCTGCTTCAAGTCCTCTAAACTTCCTGCCCCACTAATGGTAGTCGGGCAATCAGCATTTCTGGAACTCTATCCCGCAATCCCTCCATCTCACCCCCTCTCTTCCTATATGTCTCCTTCAAGTCCCATCTGAAGACCTTCCGCTTTAACAATGCCTTCCGCTACGCCCCTACATCCCTCCTGACCCCAGCTCCCAGCTTGGGTCCAAAACCCTGATTGTCCAGAACCTCTGGGAAGTTTTTCCGACGTGAAGGGCACTATACAAGTATAATTTGTTGGTTTTT